TATGTGGCATACTCTGTGCCCACTAAGCATAAATGACCCCTACAATTAAACTATTTGCAGAAAAATTTATCTTCCGGCCACTATAAATTTCTAAACGTTTTCAAAAGTTTGATGCCAACATCTTAAGAACTTTGCACATTCATTGCGAAACACTACATGTAACTTGAAACCATTAAACTTCCCCAGTTGATTACTTACGTTAAGACAACTATTTTCTAAATTAGTTAATTAATTAATTAATAAGTTTTCTAAAATGTTAAATATGCAAATGGAACATTATATAAATAACATTTGGTAATTTGCATAAATCTCTGATTCAACTATGTAAATTAGGGGACAGCCCTAAAAGATATATATTGTATTTTATGTTTAAATATGCAAATGATGCATTATCTAATCCTAACTTTTGGTGAATTCAGGTGGAATCTACAGTCGCAAATAGAAATAGTGTAGTAAAATAAATACCTAAATGTGTATTTTGGGCATTTTCTTTCCACTTGTCTGAAATAAGATATGTTATGAAAGCAGCAAATTTAGCCAGTGCATGAAAAAACAATGGTTTTGCCAGCCTCCCCTTAAGACTTCCCATGTTGTCCGTTAATCTATAACGTTTTAGCCCCTATAGAAGCCAATATGCCTTTGCTCAATAATGTCTCAATACAGAGCAAACAGAAGCTGCTAAAACAGAATGAGGTGCTCCCCAGGCAGCCAGCAGGCGGTGCTGAGTTCAGGGCCTTTTGTGTGCCTCTTGTTTATGTGCATTTAGAGAACTCATCTATTCTGTCCAGAGATCATGTCAGATGGTCTCATTGGAGCACTGATGAGAGTCTGCCTGTGCAGAAAAACACTTTAAATTTCTTTAACACCACTTTATGTGCATTTAGGAGAGACTTTTCTATGTCTTTCAAACTATTCAATATATGTGTCTTTCTCAGTGTTTTTTTGCAGCCCCTGCTTTACACAAGAGTAATGTTCTCACAGGTCTTTAAGTTTGGAAATAAGCAGAAAGAGGGGCAAAAGCAACAGGATATGAGTCACAAACAAAAGCCATGTATGAAACATATAAAAACTATTTTGGCTTTTAACTTTAAAACCTAATACTGAGTTTGTTTAAATGCAGCCCACCATCACCTTTCACCCTCTCTGTCTCTCTCTTTGAATCAGTGTGATTACAATTATTTCCCAGCAGGATAAATTGGGGGGCATGCTGTGTATGCCATTACCTCTTCAAGACATCAGCTCTACTAATGTGACTGTAATCCACATTGTCTTTCCTTTCCTCACACACACAACTGCATCCTCTGTCACAAGTCTGTGAATGATGCACTTCTTACTTCTTTCATCTCAGCCTGTAAATTACAATAAAAGTAAAATTAATTTCCGCAAAGGTCACGCTCTTTTGTCCATGGAATCACAGATGAAACCCTGATTAATTCCAACTGTGTTTGGCGTGTGTAGCCTGGATCCCCAAAGTGCGCCCAAACCATATTGGAGTCTTTCTTTTAATAAAGTTTATCGCTGGGAAAGGGAAGATCAGGCAAAAATCTCAAACTAAATCTCGAGCCAAGGGAAATCCTTTGAGGGCGGTATTGATTTGTTGGAATAGATTGGATACAAATTCTCCAAAGGAGGAGTGTTATTACATGTACAGAAGGCATTTTCATTTTGTGAAAGTGATCATCCCCAGCAAACAAGGTGATTGTCATATCTGAAAATACAGGGCCATAGTAAAATTATGAGGTATTCATTGCCATCCATAGCTGCATCATTTTATTAAATGCGTCATGTTCTGTTTTAAAAGAATCTTTTACCATGATGAACAGTTATGAATTATTCATATAAAACATTTGTGGTTGTTTGAGTGAATTTTGAAGATTAAAGTTGTGAATCCCTTATGCTTATGCAGGAAATCTGAATCCAGCAAGGGAAGGGCGGACTCCGCCTCTACCAATTAAAACTGCTATATCCATCCATCTACCATCAATACTATAAAAAAAATTTTTAAACTGCAGCAAGTTTGTGCACAATATGTGCATTCTAACGTGAATCCATGAAATGTAATATTATGAAGATGAATTTTATTTATGTAGTTACCTTGGGGGAGTGTGTGCCTCAAACTCATTAAGATGTTAGTGCTTGGATGCAAGATAAGCCCTGCAGAGTGACAGGTAGTATTTAATGACCTGAGAGCTCTGTGTAGTAAGAGAGGAGGTAGGGGAATTGTCTGTATGTGTGTGTATGTGGGTGGGTTGAGGTGGGGTTTTTCCTTGACTGACGCTATCTGTCTATGTTCTATCTCTATGCTTTTAATCCCTGGAGACTGAAATAACATTCTTTGTCACTGACGTTTGAACAAGGGAGCTGAAGAGAGTACAAGCTGGGAAAATGGAGTAATTCATGAAGCATATTCTGTGTCATTAGCATGGTGTAATTTATTGTGCGCCACATACCGTAAATGTAATGGGGCTGAAGTGACTCATGCACACTGGCACAGCAAGGTGTAAAATAAGCTAGTACTGATTAGGTTGCTCTATTGCAAAAACATCATGTAGTTATCAGAGGACCAACACATTTTTGACTTTCCACAGTATGTAACACGCTTCCTCTCTTTTAGAAAGATTAAAAACATATAATTGATTTTCCTGTAGCTTGAAGAGAGAGGAAAATAAGAACATTTGTTGCACATTCATCCATTTTTATCTAGAAAAGGTTTGCAGAGGATGCATGTACCTTTTAACTGACATTTCCACAGTTAAGAGTCACACTGAGGATCTGCACAGGATCCAGGATATCCTCACACTTCTGCCGCTGGCCAGTGAGTAGCTCAGCTGGAGCAGAAGCGTGATAAATGCCTTGCTGAAGGGCATGTAGTTGCTTGGGAGAGCTTTACTCCATCACTATTTCCTCCTAGATATAAAGTAGTTTGTCTGGAAAATGAACAGCTAGACCCAATAATCCTTTTCACAAACTTTAGAAAAAGTTATTATTTGTTTAGTCCCCCGCTCCCCCCCAAAGATTTTTAAGATTGTAAGATGAGGTAATATGTGTATAGTAATTTTAACTGGATGAAATTTAACACTTCATTTAAGTCATATAAAAGTGTAATATTATAAATACAGTATAAAATATTATGAAGTTTATTTTAGGTTTTCACACAATTGAATTGTCAATAATAACGTTGGTCAGGTTAACATTAACCTTTAGGTGTGGCAGTGTTGGACATCTAGACCATTTGTCCATTAATTTTAGCTAACACTATTTAAATCGTTTTTCAATTATTTTGAGCTGTGTATTTCAACCATGTATCCATTACTTTTAGCTAACTATTACTAAGTTAGCTTGGTCAAGTCTCCATTAGTACCAGGACCACTTGGTGCAAAAGTTGTAACTTTCAATCATTTGTCCATTAGCTACCTATTTCAGTTATTTATCCATTAGTTTTAGCTATCTATTGAAACTGTTCCATTACAGATTTTCTCAATTGCTTAAAAACCAGGCTTTTTAACTAAAATTTAAAAACCACAACTCCATTTTTCAAAAAGCACAGCCATTAGCCCAAACTCTACACACAGATCCCTTCATTTGTCATTGCCTACACCATATGGTCATTGAGAAAGCACTGACATTCAATATTGTTCACTCAATCAGCAGGTTGAGCTCAGTTAGCACACAGCTACCCAGGTGGAAATACAAACAGGAATGAAAAATGTGTGCAAATGTTTGCATTTGTTATTCCTTTAGTTGTGTTCATCTTGTGAAAAGGTTTTTGAGGGGAGCACCACAAGCAACATTACTAATAACCAGTTTTTGTACTATTGTTTTGGATGTATCTCACCAGTGTGTGTGTATTTGAGGGCTTGTGTGTTATGTCTGAGGGCAAAGTTTGTTTTTTTCAGCGAGATTTAATGGTTTTGAGTGGAGAGCTTCATTTTGACCTGAAAATAGGATGTTGGGTGGAATTGGGTGACAAGCTGTGGATTTGCGTTTAGAGTTTCGAGAAAAAGAGGCATCATTTCAAGAAATGTTTTTAAGCAATCAAGAAAAACTGTAATATTAATGAATGGAATCACGGACATAGATAGTTTTAAAAAATCGTTAGGCCTATGTGTTATAATGAATGAAAATGATAATGAATGTGCTGTGATGATTCATGGGAAGAAGGGAGCAACAGTGCACACAGGACCTGGACCATGCCAGGGATTGCAGATATGTACTATTTGGGGCCTTAGATAAGTTGTTTTTGGGCATCCCATAATTTTTAGAGGAACACCTGAGCATGCGGCTGTACTATTTTTAAACTTACATGGGCCAGTTCTGTGCCACTGTGTGGCAAAAATCAGCTATAAGACGAGTAGTGCCTTCCTCATTCCACTGTTTTATTACCAAATTTCCCCAAAGATAGAATTTCTGTAATATTTATTGCATTTCGTTGCTAGAAGACAATGTCCCAGCCACACCGTAGTTTAAAACAATAAATTTTTGTTCATTTAGTGCAAAAATATTAACCATACTAAAAATATTTGAAGCTCTCTATGGCCCTAGGAGGTCAATACTTCACAACCTAATAGCGGAACGGAGCAGCTTATAGAATTGTTTTAGAGTGCAGTAACAAAAAGACTGTTGAGATGACAGAGAACAAGGTCGTGTCTGACAGATCACTGGGTGGCCAAGGAGGGCTGGAGAAAGCAGGAGCATGCTAATTTGTTCCCACTCAGTAAGAGTGTGAAACAGCAGAGCTCTTCACTGAAGGTGAGCTCGGGTGAAGTAGCCCTGCTTACATGGCCTCAGTTGTTTTTATCCTTGTGTAAGAACCACCAGGTCTTCGTTTCTTGTGCCCTGCAAATGCAGAAATCTAAGCATTACGCATATGTCTGTGGTTCTCAAACATCCTCCGACCCACTTTGACAACCACTGCCAGATGGTTTATGGTATACTGCTCTGTGTAAAAGCATCTACTACATGCCTAAAACTGATTGGTGTACATTTGTTCTTTGCCACAGATTTACAGAGTTTCTGGAGCCCTTTGAGAGAGTGATTCAACCAGAGGAGCTTTGGCTTTACAAGAATCCTCTAGTTGAGTCAGACCACATTCCCAAGAGGGTCATGTTCGTAAGTACCTGCTGTCTAATTATGCATTCCTCTTATTATTACTTTATTGACACTAAATACTTGCTGATTATTGCACTTTATTTGAACTACATCCTATGCTTGTGTAATAATCTGTGTGGTGCAGAAATCCTTCATTAAGACAATACTGTAAAGCCCCTTCTTTCCACTGTTGAGGCGAGGCCTGAAATGTGTAGATAGATATGAGAAGGGCTTTACTGAACTGTGGTGATTAGTGCTTCTGATGTAAATATCATCTCTTCTTGGACAGAAGTGGGCGGCACAGGGTAAAGATGAATTTCAAACCAATACAGCAGGGACTGAAAATATTTTTCCTTTGGCTCATGTTGTAAACACTGAGAAAATAACCTAAAGAATATCTTGGCAAAAAGCACATAATGGAGCATCTGTGCTGATTTTGTTCTCAGTGCAGTTCTCAGCGACAATCACTGACTTCAATACATTTAAAATACAGCAAACTGAGCATTACAGAACTCATTCGTACAGAAGAGGATTAGGGCCCCGTGTGAATTATTTTTCACAGAATTCTGAGATTAAAATCAGAATTCGCGCGGTGGTGCAGTGGTTATCACTGTCGCCTCACAGCAAGAAGGTTGTGGGTTCAAACTTTTTCTGTGTGGAGTTTGCATGTTGTCCGCGTGGGTGCTCCGGCTTCCTCCCACCATCCAAAGACATGCAGGCTAGGTCAATTGGTGTCTCCAAAATTGTAGGTGTGGATGTGAGTGTGAGTGGTTGTTTGTCCATGTGTGGTCCTGTGATGGACTGGTGACCTGTCCAGGGTGTGGGATTGGCTCCAGCCCCCCACAACCCCGTACGCAGGATAAGCGGTTGACGATGGATGGATGAACTATGACTTTTTTCTCAGAACTCAAAAAAAAAAAGATTCACATGTGGCCCTAATTCTCTTCCATACGGACAGTAGATGGTCCTATTTTTGAAGAGTGATTATAATATAACAGTTCCAAGGATGCCAGAACAAACAAGCTGTTGTTAAAAATGAACCATGTATGTATGGACATGCAACAAATGTGATGATTGAGCCAGGAAGCAATTGGCTTAGCTTAGCATAAAGACAGGGAGTGGGAGGAACAGCTAGTCTGGCTCTGTCCAAAGTTGAAAAAAACACCTACCAGCGCACCTAAATCTCACTAATATATTCTATATCTCCTATGTATAACAGAAATGTAAAAATGTATGGTTTTATGTGATCGCATGATTTCTAAGCAAACAGTTGCCAGGTGTTGTGACTTTCTGCATCTTGCCATGCAATCAACAGAGACTCCAGGAAGTCACAGCACCTGACCAGAACAAATGTATACAACCAATGCAATGGTTCTGCAACTTTAAACAGAAACTGTGACACATCTAAAGTTCAATATCCAAGCACTATGTGCACAACTGCTTTTTAAAGCTGCTATTATATGAATACCTCCTAAATGTGTTTTCAGTACTTCAGTAAATTGAGTCCTGGTAATGATTGCATTATGTACCCTATTCTCTCATATTATAAACTTTTTTTCCATCACATCAAACTGCGAAGAATTCATCTTTTATCAGTGTAAAGGGTAACTTCAGTATTTTTCAACATGGACCTTATTTTCCTTATTTTATTTTTTTGTGTATATGTGACTGATTCCAGGCAGGCTGAGTAGGGATGAAGGTTTTTCTCCACTGATTTGACTGCTTTTACCAAGATTGTATCGCAAACAATCTGGATTCACGGTGACAATCGTGAGTAAGAGGAAATAAATATCATACGAGGTTTGACTGGTGCGAGAGATGAAAAATATGGAAGGTGAATAGCCTGATTATTCGTAACCCATTAGAAATACAGGTGAACAAATACCTGGTACAGTAGCCTGTATTTATTTTCTATTTGACTCTTTTAAAATTGCATTTAAATTTTTTAATATTTCGTTATGTTGCTTTTCTATTTTATGCAAAGCACTTTTAATTGCCTTGTTGCTGAAAGGTGCTTTACAAATAAACTTGTCTTGCCTAATTGGGACAACATTTTGAAATTCCAGTATTGAGCGAGCCCCGCAGCTATCGGCAGCAGTAAGACATGGCTGCAAAGTGATCTTTGCGGGCAATTGCGCCCCATCAAAATACGTCCACTTAAGTGCTGGTTTTTGGCACTGACTGGCTCAGATTATTATTATAAGTGTCTGAAAACACTGTGGAAAGGATCCCTACAGAGATTTATCTTTCTTTAAAAAGTAAGCGCCGTTTGTTTAACCAGAAAGAGTCGCTCCATTGCTCTCTTCAAAGCCACCAGACAGACAAAAATTGTAATTTTACCTCTCTGGTATACCACTGCCTCGATTGGTTAGTTTGTGTTTGTGCTTTGAACAAAGTCACACAATGACATCAACAAATAAAAACATCAAAGTCACACAATAACAAAAAAACTAACGGACCGAGGCAGCAGTTAGGCACACTACTATATTCTACAAGGTAATGTTACTATTTTTATCAATGGAGTCTGGTAGCAAGATTGAAATAGCGATGGTATTACTCTTTAAAAAAGGTCTATCTCTGTACAATGTTGTCTGACACTTAAAATAACAATCTGAGCCTAACTAATGTGCATAACACCATAATATGCCCTAATTTATGGTGATTATACAAGAAATATCTCTTAACATATTTTGGGAATTAACTTGATATTCCGCAGTTTCAGTAAATAATTTCTCTGACAGGCTGATATGTTTAATTCTGTACAGCTGGATATCTTTGTCTGCATGCTAACTTGTCTAGTAGGTACTCACTGTTTGATCAAAATATCAAACCGACTTGACAAGTAAAGGCTTGCCCGCCCATTGCTCGGTTAGCTCACCTATCTGTGAACTGACAGCGTTTGACTGACAGGAGCTCGACTCCATCCTATGCTTCTCCACACATATCAATCATCTCATTATGTGCAGCAGAGTAGGTGGTGAGCACTGTCAGTCATTTCGAGCTAGAAATCATGACAGCTTCTGTAAACTTTAATATATGTATTATGTTTTCCCCTATCTAAAAAAAAAATACTGAATAAAAGGAATATCAACAGTAGATACTGTATGTTGAGGATTAGCTGTCTCTACTTAATAATGTTTAGAAGCCTTTGTGGCAGACCAGTTTAATTAAATATTAAGATAAAGGGGTTAACACATTAACATAAGTGGTTTTGATCAAGAATTGAGCTTAAAATTGCTCATTAACAAAGCTTTTGTTGGCGTCTTGTTATAAGCACTTAAAAGCGCATTAGTCATAGAAAGCCTCCATCTCCACCTCCAACATCCGTCTGTGGTGCTGAATGTCCTGAAAAAAACAGTAGAGAAACCCTTGAGCTTATCTTAGCTGCACTGTATTATCTCTGTTTGTTTTTTCAACACCCTTTATTAAAAATGTTGACAATTTATTTTAACTTTAATGTCCATGAATCTTTTCTTATGGCAGGCCATTAAATAATGAGTGAAGAGAGAACCCCCCCCCCCCACCACCACCACCACCACCCACACGCCTTTTAGGGAAAATGCTCCCAGTGCTGACACCCAAAATCCAGGCTTCTTCAACGTCATTGCTCTGACGGGGGACCCGAAGGTGTGGAAGATTTATTTGGCCATTAAAAATAGTCTGTGGAGGGGATTTACACAAAGCTACATTATGACTCACTGCGACCTTCATTAAGATATACACTGTATTAGCCTCAAGAGTCACTCTTAGATTCTCTCATTATGGGAGGGGTAGGAATGTTCTCGGTGCTTGGGGTGAATGATCATAGAGTACAAACCTCCTGATCAGTTTAGCCAAAGGTTGCATTTTTGTCCAGAGAATGTGTAAACAGCCTAATACTGTAGCACGCAGCCCTCAAATCAGTACTTGAAAATCAAATTTCATCCTCCAGGAAATCTGTGTCCCCTTTTCTTTTTTTTTTGCAGAGGTCATATAATTAATAAGTAAAACAAATAATGTGCTCTTCCAGAATAAATATACAGAAGGCAAATAAGTATTAAAATAACAAAACAGTTATTGAGAATTATTTGTCCCTAACCATTGACAGTGGGAATCTTCCTGAGAATTGCAAATGTGAGTATAGTCTACTCTCTAGGCAGGCACTTGGGTGAAAGGCACAGATGGACTGTTCAGTGAGATTTACACAAATAAAGATGTCTACTTAGTGTTTTTTTACACATGTGAAAGAGACATTACACATAATGAAGAAGGATTTCACAGTTGATTAGATGTGTGCACAATATGTAGCCTTCATAAAGGTGTGTTAAGTGAATATTCGAGAGTTGTAATATTGGAATATTCTGGAAACATGAAAAATATTATATAGGTGCCAAAATGCATCTCTTCATTAATGAAAAGACATGATAGGTATTTTGTAAGTATCTTTAAAAGTCACAAAATATTATGAGTCAAGATCATTTAGACTGTCAAACCTTTAAGATGTTTTTGGATACATTAATGTTTTTCCATGGTAACATAAAACCTCATAAGTACTGCGTTCCTCATCTACATATGACTGTTTTCATATTTCACAACTTTATTAGACTCTGAGGGTTGCTAATGTATAATTTTAAGGTGTAAGGTTATGAACAGCTGCTATGCATAAAATACAGTCAGAAATTGTACCATGCCACCATGCAGAAAATCGACCACCAAGGTCTGACCCCCTTTGGTACAGTTGTCATTCAGTTTAGTGTTTTCACCCTACATAAATTATGAGGTGATGTGAAAGACATAGCCTAACAGAGAAAGAGATGTTTTTTCTATTCCCTGACAAGCTCAGTGATAAAGTGATGGGAGCTGCTATGACTGAAAGGACCCTGATACTCAGGTGCATTTTTGGCAAACATGATGGATGCTGCTTGCTGCTGGGTTGCCCCAGCATTGTTGCTTCAATTGCTACACTTAAGTACATACAGTATTTGAATCTGCGTCTGTCATTTTTTGTTTGTTTCTTGTGAACATCTGTTTATCAAATGTGACCTTTAAGCAACATATAAGCTATTTCTTCAACCACACTACATGTCATACACATTAAAGCATGTACGGTAATGTGTTTCTTTCCACGATACAGTCTTGCATTGCTGTTTTTCACTGATTGTAAGGCCCAGTTTTAGCACTATGTTGTTCAAAGCTGTTATGGCCAGGAAATGGAGGACCCAATCACAGGATACGGATCAGTGTGTAATTGGTAAGGCAGTCTGTAATGCAAACAGGAGGTTAAGGTGTGGGCTGCTGCCTGTGAGAGATACCCGGAGACTGCAGGGGTGGAATGGTGGCAGTGGAGGAGGGTGGTTGGCGTGAGCAGAGGGAATGAAGAGTGGTGGCTGGAAGGCAGACGGCTGAGCTGGTAGACTGGCAGGTGGGTAGTGATCCGGGGGTCGAACCACAGTGGCCCCAGGAGTTGGAGGAAGAGTGATGAGCAGTAGGCAGGTGTGTGTGTCAGCAGAGCCAGGGAGGGAAACCATGACAACACAACAACAACATAAACAAGAACAGAGAGAGAGACAGAGACAGAAATCCTGAAACACAAGAAAGGGGTAAACACAAGAACACACGTGCAGTAGTAATTCAGGCAGTAACTGTTGGTGCACTTATGAGTGTGAAAGCAAGTTTCATTACACGTTTGAATCTGCCTACTTCAAAGGGGATAGTGATGTACAAAATTGGGTTATAATTGGAAATACAGATCTACACACGGCTGAATGGATGAACAGCACTAACAGGAAATGTATCATCCTTTGTTTTTACTACCTCTGTTGCATAAGGTGAAGAAAATATTGAATTTGAAAGTAGTGAATACATTCTGAGGCATAAATAACTACCGACAGTATCTCACAAAACAATCAATCACATTTTTGTAAACATTTGATAGTATCTTTTTTTTTTATTTGCTGTCCCCTCAAAATAACACATCACACAGCCATTAATGTCTAAACTGCTGGCAACGAAAGTGAGTACACCCATAAGTGAAAATGTCCAAATTGGGCCCAAAGTGTCATTATTTTGTGTGGCCACCATTATTTTCCAGCACTGCCTTAACCCTCTTGGGCATGGAGTTCATGGAGGTTGCCACTGGATTCCTCTTCCTCTCCACCATGACGACATCACAGAGCTGGTGGATGTAAGAGACCTTGCACTCCTCCACCTTCCGTTTGAGGATGCCCCACAGATGCTCAATAGGGTTTAGATCTGGAGACATGCTTGGCCAGTCCATCACCTTTACCCTCATCTTTTTGCCTTGTTGGCATTCATGTTTCCGTCAATGAACTTTAGCTCCCCAGTGCCAGCAGCACTCATGCAGCCCCAGACCATGACATTCCCACAACCATGCTCGACTGTAGGCAAGAAACACTTGTCTTTGTACTCTTCACCTGGTTGCCGCCACACACGCTTGACACCATCTGAACCAAATAAGTTTATCTTGGTCTCATCAGACCACAGGACATGGTTCCAACAATCCATGTCCTTAGTCTGCTTGTCTTCAGCAAACTGTTTACGGGCCCTTCTGTGACCACAGCCATGCAGACCAATTTGATGCAGTGTGCAGTGTATGGTCTGAGCACTGACAGGCTGACCCCCCACCCCTTCAACCTCTGTAGCAATGCTGGCAGCACTCATACGTCTATTTCCCAAAGACCCTCTGGATATGACGCAGAGCACATGCACTCAGCTTCTTTGGTCGACCGTGGCGAGGCCTGTTCTGAGTGGAACCTATCCTGTTGAACCGCTGTATGGTCTTGGCTACAGTGCTGCAGTTCAGTTTCAGGGTCTTGGTAATCATCTTATAGCCTAGGCCATCTTTATGTAGAGCAACAATTCTTTTTTTCAGATCACCAGAGAGTTCTTTGACATGAGGTGCCATGTTGAACTACCAGTGACCAATATGAGGGAGTGTGAGAGCGATAACACCAAATTTAACACACCTGCTCCCCATTCACACCTGAGACCTTGTAACACTAACGAGTCACATGATACTGGGGAGGGAAAATGGCTACTTGGGCCCAATTTGGACATTTTCACTTAGGGGTGTACTCATTTTTGTTGCCAGCGGTTTGGACATTAATGGCTGTGTGATGTGTTATTTTGAGGGGGAAGCAAATTTACACTGTTATACAAGCTGTACTCTCACTACTTTACATTGTAGCAAAGTGTCATTTCTTCAGTGTTGTCACATGAAAAGATATTATCAAATATTTTCAAATATGTTAGGGGTGTACTCAGTATTATGAGATACTGTAGCCGCTGGGATAGCCTAAATCTCTTACCAAGCAAGGGGCAAAATTCTCTGTGCAAGCAAGAATTCCCAAGGAACAATTAGAAAGTTTGTTAGGCCTCTCAGTTTGCCCTGTTAAAATTAACTCTAAATAATGGATAGGTTCATGTCATTCCCTGAGGCAAAACAAGACCCTTTGCAATGCTGCGGAGCAATGCTGCAGAGCAATGCTGCAGAGCATCTCTAATGTGAAAAACTTTTGTCTTTATTTCCTCACAGGCAATTTCGTTCCTTACCCCATTGGCGGTGATTTTTGTGGTGAAGATAATTCAGAGGACGGACAAGACAGAGATCAAAGAGGCATGCTTAGGTATGTCAATTGCAAAGCCAATTGCTTGAAATTGTTAGTCACAATCTAGCCAATAAGTATTTTAAATGATAGTATATATTTTATAGTTGCTACACATACTGCATTTGGAGTTTTTTAATAACTCTGAAAAAGCTTCTTTTCCTGTTCTTCCTGGAAGCATGGGCTAATTGGTCACCTAGAAGTACTTTATTTTGCTTAATAGTGCAGATCATTAAATTCTGTGACCTATTGTAGCAGTCAGTATTGTACCACACAGGTTCATCTCAATCACAGAGGCCATGAGTATTTACACCCATTAAAATTTCATGCCATTTGTTTATTTCTCAAATGACATCTGGGAATTTATGTCACATACATTTTTTCCCCCTTTGCTATTTCCCCCATGGGTCGAGAGGCCTGCAGAGGCTTTGGCACATCAGAGAGCATTAAGAAAGTTTAACACAAATCCAATTAAACAGACACACAGAGATGAACCGGGTGGGGAGAGGGTGGCTCAGTGCATCAGTGTAGAGATTACAGTGCTGTCGTGAACACTACCGCCTGCAGAGAAGCACTTCTCCAAGGCTTTATCGCCATACAGGGAAACAACATCACTCAGAAGAACAAAGAAGAAAACGGAGCCCATTATTCTGACAAGTTTCTACATGATCGCGTGGCTGCTTTAAACCACTGCTACCCCTAGACCTAATGAGAAAGAAAGATCATTAAAGCGTTTTTTGGCTGTGTGTGCTGTCCGGGAGTAGCTTATTTTTATCTACCTACGGACTTATTTGTTTTTCATTTCAAGCTGAAATCACAGCGAAGCAGCTGTCCCTATATCCCCGCTAATTTATTAAGTTCAAAGTTTTCCCTGAGGGTCCTCTAATTCTGAATTTATGAATCAAAATTTGAAACAGATATAATTGAGCTGGCATAAATTAAGGGTTTGAGTTCGATTTTCACCCTTGTAAAACCAATAGGACTTGGACTTGCTAATTTCCTGTGTATCTATTGTTGGATACAGAGTAAAATGAGTAAGAATACAATGTTCCCTTTGTAGAGTTGTCTAATAATTCTTTATCATTCCATACTCCTGCAGCTTAATTGTGTGATTACCTATCAGTCAAAATATAATAAAGCCATTTGGGAAGTTTGATTGTATTTTTCCAAAAGACTACACTCAATCACAGAGATGATTCAAATTTTTGGTTACACAGCATGAAGGATATTAGCCGTCATCTGAATGTGAGATCTCATATCGTGCAGAGGCATTATTGTTTGGTGTGCGTAGAGGGAGTAATCTTCCATTTAGTGAGACAATGAGAGGGTTTTCAATAATAGTTTTTGTGGTCCCTGCAAAGTGGGTCTAATGTGTCAAAGCTTTAACCATCTGGGTATGTTCAATACTATACTACTGAGCCATGCTGCTTGTTAATGAAATCAGGAAGCTACTGCAAAGATTTAGACAGTAGCAGCTTCACCAACAAATCAGACTGGTCATCTATAGGATGAATGTTAGGAACTTTGGTAAAGTGATGACAACAACACTAATGGGTCTCTAATTTCCTGAAGCTGTGCCCTAGTGCAATCACTAGTGTAAACTCTGTGGGAAAGTGCATGTGAATGTCAATTTTGGTGACCAGAGACACAAGTCCTATTGCAGCACAGACCAAGCACAACCAAACAGACTTACGCATGTTGACTACACTATTATAGGAGGAATGCATTAGTTCCTCTCTTACCTTTTAAATGCAGCAGATTTGAGGCAAGTCCAGGCTAAACTGGAGGCACAAAGTTGCAAGGCATGAATTTACAGTGTGCCACATTACTGAGTAGCACCCATAAAGGATGTCTCCTTGAGTTTGATCAGTTATGCAACTCCAGCTAACTCGGCAGAAACTGGCTCATTTGGTGCCAGGAGTTTAACAAACAAGCTTTAGTACAAAAATATAAACTGCCAAAACTGTGTCGGTGCTACTGTCAGCTTTAGGCCAGCAAAACATTTATTAATATTTTACTGACAACGAGCAAACTTCCCAAGGCAAGACTATATTTGAGCGAATGCAGCTGGAGCAATCGCCTCCTCATACCGAGTGAGATCTTACAAAAAAGGAAAGCATTGCAATTTAATGTCCCGTTTTTCAACTGGTCAAACGGAACATGTCTCATTTCTGAGTTTCATCTAATCTACACAGTGTCTGCCCAAATTAACAGGCTGTTAAGTAACAGTGACACTGTGCTCCTCTCAGCAGCTCAAGACGATAATACATTTGAGCTCTGGCGACCTGGGGTGGATTCAATTGACCTGCAGACTACTGGGATTAACTGGCTAATGATGAGCCCTGGTGGTTTGCTTCGTAGCGAATCAAATTAATGTATAGTAACAATGCAATACCTATATGTCAAGTAGCAGCTGCCCCCCTGTTTCTCATTACCAAAGTTAAGCTTAAGCAGTAATTGCGTAACATTCAGATAGACTTGTAAGTGTAATCATTTTGCCACTACTAGTGTGGGGGATACTTTTTTTTCTCCCAAATGTATACCTGATAGATAACTGCCAGCATTAAACTATAAAGTATGTAAAGTTTTTCTTAAATTTTCGGTGACTAGCATGGCTCTGTGGATATCAATGTCAATATGTCTATTGGTCCATCATTCCACCACTTTGGTCCAGAATTAATTGTCTCAACAACTAGGCCTGCACCAACTGCCTTGAATTTTGTACAGACATTCATGGTGCCCAGAGGGTAAATGCTAATGATTATAGTAATACCTTGACTTTTCCTCTAGGGGTATCATGAGGTTCACATTTTGGCTTTGAGTGAAAAGTCGCAAACAGCTAGATTGGTTGCCATGAAATGTGGTGCAGACATGCATGTCTCCCTCAATGTGAATTGTAATTACTTTGGTGATCCCCTCATGTTTCCTCTAAGCCAAGCAGGTCAGAATTTCGATTTGTTCAGTACTTTGGCAATGACCAAATAACTGCAAAACTTAATTCACATCTCCATCAGCCTTTCTTTGTTAAGTGTTAATTAGTAATCGTTGGCACACTAACACACTAAACTCCAATCGTAAACAAAAATATATCTGCTAAAACTCAGCATGTTAGCATCTTTTGTTGTGAGTACATTAGCATTTAGCTTATAGCACTGCACCTAAGTAGCTTTACAGAGCCATGCTAGCAGCATGTGTGTGTATCTGTGTGTGTCTGTGCTTATGAAGCTTGAACTGTGTTTTAAACATGCAGGCTTAGCTCATAAATCCTGACAACCATCTGTCCAGCTGCAAGGGAAATTCCCATGAACCTGATTGGCTGTTTTATTTGTACATTATGTCAGAAGAGTGGGCAACCCTCTAGAACCTACGACAGCATATTAGAATCATTGTAAAATAAATAAATAAATTACAGAGACAGGGGTGGGGTTATATTCAGAGAAAAAGATTAAAGTTGTAAATTTAGGATAAAAAAAACCATATTTACTGAGATTAAAGTCACAAATTGACGAGAACTTTTTTAAAATTAAAGCTCTGGACTCTATTAAAAGCAGGGTACACAGATAATAATATAACATATAAGCTACTTTCACAGCATTTTGAGATGTTTCCTTCTGTTCAAAGACCAAAAGCATAAAAAATTAGGGAAGAACTGAAAAGATGTGACATATGTTTTCAAGTGGCTTTGTTGCAGTCCCTCACATCTGCCATATCTGTCTTTTCTCTTATGTCTACACTGACTCTTGTCTTGTATCATTAATGACTGAAACAGTTTTTCCAGTTTTTTCTTGTACATTTACCACTTTTTTATTTGAATATTAGGCTACTCCCCTTGCCCAGCTCCACAATTTATATATTTTTAATCTACAATGGCCCAAATATGCCATTGTAAGAACCTGTATTGCACCAAGGGTAAAATAAATTATTTTTCCACAGCACATCACTGGTTCTATGAATATTCCTTAAATCCAAAATGCTGTCAACTGCTTTTGTATCACCTGCTTCAATAAAAAAAACGTCTGTAAGATGCTTACTTGACTGTGTGTGTCAATCTTCCTGCTCCAGCTGTATCCCTGGCTCTCGCCCTGAATGGAGTCTTCACAAATACTATCAAGTTGATTGTTGGCAGGTACGCTAAACAAACTGAAGCTTTTTACAGGCTCTGTCACTGATGATAAATGCTAAGATGTTGGCTCTGAAAATCTAATTTTTCAGCTTTGACTTACTAGATCTATAGCCAATCAATTGTTGGACAAGTAAATGGAATTCTTTCTACTGACAACACAGAAACCATCCTCTGGGTTGTGTTTGATTTTCAGACCCAGGCCTGATTATTTCCAGCGTTGTTTCCCGGATGGACAAGTAAATGTGAAGATGTTGTGCACTGGGGAACCCGATCTTGTCTCGGAGGGACGCAAGAGCTTCCCCAGCAGCCATTCCTCATGTGAGTACCAGTTATCTGTCCAAGCAGATCACTGCCAGCACTTGCAACACAATGCCAAAAGATATCAGAACTTACACATTAAAACTGCATATATATATATATAGCTACTCACGCAACTTGATCTTCATGCTTGAGTAACATTTACAAGTAAAAATTTCCATATCTGCTGATTGGGTGTGTTAAAGGTTTTTACTTCACATTTCAAAGCGATAATCTCGGTGCTCCCTCTCTTAGGTAATTACAACATGTAGCAATGAGTTATCTTTCAATTTACACAGCCCGAAGCAGCTTCTTGAGATGCTTGTGGGTTTGGTTGATTGAGTAAAGCACATTCAATCTAGATCACTTGTGAATGAATGAGTGAATGCACGCCCACTATTTCAGCTTAATCTGACTTCCTGCTGTGTTCAGCTGTGTAGACCAACAGGGGACACTGGACATCTTTTCGACCATATTGCTTTCCAAGCTGTTTTCACTTCAGCAGTGTGTTAAATAATTCACATGTTTTTCTGTTGTCCAGCTGATGAATTATAAGTGGTATGCATGGAGTGTTTGCTGTGGGCCACACAGATGTTGAGTAAAACCTCAGCATGATATGGTGCACTGGGCTTGTAAAGACTGCATTTAAAAAGATACATCTTTGAAAACATCACTTAATTGCCTTGCAGCCATTGAGCAACAAACATACTTGGCTTTGTAGTTTCTTTTCTCTTTTGCTCTAGCGGCTGTGTGCTTGCCTCAGAGTCCACCAACAGTCAAATGCTTCCACTGGAATTACACTGAACCTCCTGCTATCTATTATGCAAAATAAAAAATATATATCTTTATATCCTCCAGCGAGCTGTGCCCTGACTGTGGCTTGTTTGATATTTATATTGTTTGCTTTTGTTCACAGCTCTTTCTCTCTAAAAGCACGTTCACACTTAATTGTGCAGAATTTGTAAGTACTGCAGGAATGTGTAAATAAGCAAATTGTTGCATCCAAATGAAGCATTTCATTGTCCCTGAAAAGAAGGGAAAATCCTTCAAAGCCCAGATGAATCTTGATTTCTTGTTACATGTGAGTTCAGGAAGAGGTTTTCTTGAGAGGTGGAGGGCATGTGTGTGTGCAAGAAACCCAATGCTTGTGAAATGGTTTGTGAATGTGTTTGATTGCCATCCTGCTGTGAATGTGACTGGCTTGAACTTATCTATAAAATGCTTCAAATCAAACATGGGGTTAACTGGTCTTTGTGTCTTACAATATCACAGCAAGCCACCATAATGGTTTTTTGTCGTTAAAGACAGCTGTAATTTCATAGGCCAGACTGATTTCAAGCTGATGTTTAGCATAAACATGATGAACCGTTATGTTTTTATTACCTTACAATGCGACATTGTTATCTACATAACCGCGGGTCCCCGTTACGTAGATGTCGCCATGTTGCACCACCATGTTTCTATAGTAGCCCAAAACAGACAAACAGCTCTACAGAGCGCTTTCCGTCATTGTATTGTTTCTTCCTCCTCTTGTAGATTTCTGGAAGTGTAGACGCTCATCACTATGTTGAATATGTACGTTCAAAGAAGAAGAAGTAATAATATACAGCAGGGGATGGCAAATGAGTTTTGCATCAGAGCAATTTTTTTATCCATTAGATGATGGGTGAGAATATAAAATATAATATTAAAACTGCGCGTGCCTCTCTCCTAAAAAGTTGCATGTTCGATCCCTCTGTCTGTTCCGCTGTTTTATCTGCATCCATCAACCAACGCTTTTTCATTTCCCCACTATCTCCAGGCAGAAGACGTTTAGGGAAATCATTAAAAATCACTAAAATTTTCTGACGCCTATTTTAATGTATGGTGTATCAAGCAGGCAACAGACTCTTTTTAATGTCAATCAGAATTTTTCAAAATAAAAGCTCTCAAAACAACTCGAAATAAGGCATTGTAGCAAAAAACATTTTATTTTGTAGGCAAAACCACTAAAGAGGAAGTGATTATGTAAGTAACTGTTGCTGTCATGACTGAGATCTATTTCAGCACCGCTGTCAAATTATTTAATTATTTTTACTTTTTGCCGCTATCAAAGCACCGTAATCTGATCACGGGCTAGATATTATTGCTGGCAGGCAGTTTTGGCGAGGGTCCATAATCACAGAGAGAATCGATGTGTTTCCCTTGTTAGTGGTGTAAAATGTGTCTGACTGTGGTGCAGACACAGTGACAATGTTACACACTCTTGGTTTACATTTTCCATGTTATCTGTCAGTGGCCAAGTCGCATTAACATATGGTTTTACTGAATAATTAAGTAAATATAATTTCTTAATATATCTACCTAAAGAAACCTAATTTCTTGATTGGATACTTGTCCTGTGTCAGCCACCATAGCTGTACAGTCTTTGAAAGGGTAGGGACATAGACAGTATATTACTGGACGAAGCCACCCCACAGATTTGAATTGATAGAAGTGAAGCCAGTTTTGGACTACTACAGGGCCACCTCCTGTTGGCACCAGCATCTACTGCGCATGATCGCACAGCATAAGCATGCTGTAATGACATAGAGCAACTGGAAGCTGCATAGCTGCACCAACAAAGTCTCTTGGCTCAGAGCATTTGTCTGACTTGGATCGTCAGCCCACCTACAAGGCTCATCTCCCAAACACCAATGCAGCGTCACTGATAGTTGTTTTATATTCACAGAGAGTTTATAATCCAAGCAATACAGTTACATCTCTCATCTGTGACGGGACGTCAGGGTTTTGACGTCATTTTGGGCCTACTGTACATGGAAGCCTTTGGTCGGCATCACTGTTTCAACTGTGGCTTACCCCCTTGGGTAGGGAGCAGTGGTAGACTAGACAGTTGGTTGTAATTTGCAACCTCACCGCTAGATGCCACTAAATCTTACACACTTTAAAGTTGCACACTTAAAGCTTCTCAGACACCTGCTATAAGAAAGAAATGCTTTGAAGTGCTGGCTATATCCCTTTAGAAATGGCAGAGAGGGACATTGCTCTGTAATTCACTGCAGCACTCTATATGGATTACATTCATCTGCGCGACAGCTCTAATAGCCTTATGTTGTTGTGCTGTGAGTGAGAAAGTGATTGAGAGAACCGTGCGGCACAGGGAGCACCCATATGCCAGCACATCCAGAGAGCAGAAGAAATCCAATTTCCTGTTTGTGTCCCTTTTCACCAGGACACATTGTTGGACCACGCATAAGTTACAGAGATTTTACCCAGACAAACAGGCAATATGGCCAGACAGATGGCAAGTGGCACCTGGATGTAACGCAATATTACATGTGGCTGGTATGAAGCCTGAGACACAGGCTATAGGTAAAATAAACTGTTTTGTATTCAGAAACTCTAACATAATCCAAACTAATCAATCAGAATAAGCCAGGACAAATATATATATATATATATATATATATACTAGGCTTCAGTGTTTGATGACAGCAATTTTTTTTAAAGCACACAAACAATTATTCCATTTCTAAATTTTTAAAGCTGCTCAGGTTCTCTGTGATTTGATATATTTTCTTCACCTCAGAGCAAAATAACAGAGTAACAGAAATTGGAGGAGACAGGTGCCAGAAAGAGAAAAACAATAAATACTAACTCCCCTGAACCCACTGCACTCCCAATATACACAGCGTTAACGCAAGCAGGCCCTAAAGCAATTACCTCCTTTTTATTCATATTCATCTCACCATCTCCCCTTGTATAATGAGCCATTAGAAATGATCAATTACTACGCAATTTAAAAATAAATAAAAAAGTAATCCTGTGAGATGGACCTAATCGCATCTTTTAATCTCTACATTGCTTCTTTCATTTACACACAACTATCTATATTAAATTATCCATAGCTTGGAATGTCCACAATATTAATTCATTTTCTGGAGTGAATTGCACTTCTGCCAGGTGTGTTCTCATATATTGAATAAAACTCACTCAAGCAGCAGCAGTTATACAGCATTAATGTAAAGTTCCTGTTGGGCTTTTATATGTTAATGATAAGTGTCTAAGTGGGTGGTTAATATGCATCCCTTCTAATGAGAGGCACAGGTTCTCCAACTGGTCCTTGCAGGGGTCAGAGGTGTAAAAAGAAAGGGAGATGACTGGACAACACGTTTTCACTCCCAACTCATCACACATGGACACTTGGTCAAGACCCCTTGGCATCACTTCTTAACGCACGGGGTACCAGTGAGCAAGCTTGACCAAAGGTGACAACTTGAGAGTCAGTTAGGCAGTTTGTGTGTGTGTGTGTGTGGTAAGTCCGGTGATAGATCAATAGAAATAAAGAGGATAAAGGTAAAGAGACAATTCTAGGATTATTAGGCTTTGACCAGAGCAGGACTCCACTCTTTGAATCCATAGCCCAACCCTGTAGTTTAAAGGAATACTTGTCTACTTTACAATGTGTCCTCCATGGGGTCACTTGTCAAAAACCACCATACTCACACACAAAATTCAGCCATACAATGTTCGGATATCAACTTTAACAGTAGAAGAATTACTAAATGAAGTGTACTTAGAATGCCAATGTGCATTGTACAATTTTTCTATTCTTGAGAATGGTGTTGATGGAAGCTTATGTCCCACAAAGTAATGCACAATGATAAAAACATGTACGGCATCAACATGCTAACATACTCATGGTGACAATGCTAACACATTGATGTTTAGCAGGTATAATGTGTACCATGTTCACCCTCTTACTAATGTGTTTTAACATTTGCTAGCAACATGTGATATTTGCAGTAAGCACAGAGTAGCTGAGGCTGCTGGAAATGTCATTAGTTGTACGACTACAAGCCTTTGGTTTCTACATAAACCAAAGGCTTTTGGACAATTGAAAATTTTCACCTCGTGATGGAGCTAGATGTAGGTTCAGATGATAATAATAATAATAATCTTTATTTGTAGAGCACTTTTCAAAAAAGACAATAATACCCAAAAGACAATAATACAAAAACAATACAAGATAAAAGCAAGAAAACATTGAAAAGACTAAAATACACGTTTAAGATAAATATAAAATAAGTAAAATAGAATAAAATAAAATAAGGATCACCAACTTTATTGTAATTTATCCTGAACACAAACGGCTGTACCAAATGTCATGGCAATACATCTACCAGTTGAGATATTTCACTCAAAACCCAAACTGAATTCTGGTGCAGGAATGTTAGTTGTGTATAACAGTAGTAGTAGCCTACTACGACTCCTGATAACTAAGTTACATCCATTTCAGTTATGCTGCTCTACTACCACCTTTAGCCACAGCATCCATGTCCTAGAAGCTGGCAACCAGTTAAAGGAAAATATTGCGTAAAATCAAAAAACAAATAAAATGCATCAAGTTTGATGAAGATTGGATTAAGCAGATGAGTGGTGCCAAGATATGGTAACAGGTTTTTTACAGTGGACAAAAAATATCAAATGTTCATTGAAACGCTGTATGCTTGATGTTTTCCCAATAATCATTGTTTTCCCAAAATACAAATAAATACCCCAAGTAGTGTACCTAGCTCCTTTATAGCAAGTTATGATGTTCCATTTATGATACTCAGTATGACAGTTAATGCGGTTACAGTGCCTCCATTGTTTTTTCATACTCGCCCAGTGAGAGGTTTCAAATGCCTTAATAATATACATACACATGGGATTACTGTTTTATTATTGTTCTAAAAGTAAACCTGATGTTCATCTTGCTGTTTTTCTTTCCAAATTTTTGTGACTAGTATATGGCTCAATTCTGCCCTGTTTAGAGAAATCCCCCCTCATCTGCTTCTAAAATGTGCATTCAAACTTGGCTCTTCTTCACTTGCAACCTCTCAACAACCTTGTGCTTGTTTGAAGATGAAAAAAAGCAATTGCACTACACTCATCACTCTCATTAGGCGTCTTTGTTTTGCCCCAGGGGAATTACTCTTCAAGGCTTTTTAAATGCGTGGAGGGGATTCATTACCAAGATGTTTTCCTCTTTGTCGGCCTCCTCTCTGTCCTCTGGCCTTTCGGGGACTCCTGCAGCCTCCTGGGGGCATCCTTCAGTGGTTATTGGGTACGCAGCGTATTCAGTTCTCTGCAAATATATTGGCTTAGTTAACGATGCTAATTTTACAGAAATGTGTTTGTGTTTCTCTGTCTGTGTATGTGGATGAGAGGGACACATTTGCTGTCCCAACTCATGTATTATGCATATCACCAACGCAGTTTGATTACTGTAATCCTCAGGATGTTGACTCACTGTGTCACAAACACATTGTTTATGTGCAGTATGGAAATAAATCATGCACATTTACTGCTACAATAAACTATTTTTTGTTATGATACCTAGTAAGGTATCATAACAATGCAGTAATTCCAATGCAGTTCTTTGTTTGTTTGGCAAATCTCTTCACATCTGTTACAATTCTAAAACAGGTAATTTTCCATACAGTTACGTAAGATTTTTCTGTCTTGATTACCACCTACATTGCCATAAAAGTGCCACACTTATGTACATTTACACATAGGTTTAAATGGACCATTAGCATGATTTTAGAGTCAACAATATCTAATGACCAAAAACGACCTAGTTTTTGACTGTGGGTGATTAAATGTGTTCACCCTCCGAGGTTTTGATGACCTGTCCGGGGTGATTCCCTGCCTTCCTCTCAAAGCATTCTTGGATAAACCCCAGCCCTCATCACTCTGAATGAATAATGATCACAATGGTCCAGTGTCCCTGCTGGATCCCCAGCTTTGTTTTGTGTACTGTCTTCACGAAGAAACTGAATTTGGGAGGTGAATTAGATTAACAAAACAGAACAAAGAGAAGAGAAGAAACAATGTAAGAAACCACCATTACTCACAAGATTTCTCGTGTAAAACTGCTGTGAATTAAAATGTCTGTTCGGCAGAGTGAGTCACTAGTTCATGGATAATTTATTTCTGTCTATCCAAATTAGTAATGTAATAGTCTTAGCTATGGTTAGAGCTGAATGGTGTGAGTTGCTGTTTGACTGGAAATGTGGAGAGGTGGCCCAGAAGTGAGATGGGTGGACAGTTAGGGAGGCTCAGGAACTCATGACCTCCGGGCAGAAGAACTGGACTGATGAACTGAGCCAGAAAGTATGATGATGATGATGACTATGTGCAGGAATTTATATACCAGTGGCAATTAATGCATAATTCCTATTTCCCCTACGTGCCATATGGATAAATTTAACTGGCTGAATTTAATACTTGTTTAATATAGCCCTTGGTGAGTTCAGTTTCCAAAAGGCTTTCATCTACTGGTCCACTTTAAAGCTTAAGCTATTAAAAACATATATATTTATATATGGCCCACTGGCCAAATTGTATCTCGCTTTCTGGACAGCCATATGATGTCTGGTAGGTGAGATTATATAGGCCACCCAAGGGGCACATACATTCAGCAATACGAGAATGCCATATGGGTTCTATTGGATAACGTCAGATGTAGCCTGTCCTAGGCCAAGTTATTGTCATTCAAAGACATTGGCGGACTGGTTTGGCTCTATGAATGGCAATTTTCTGTCGGTCAACCACTTTGGTCTAGAATAAAAACGTCTCAACAGCTACTATATGGATTGCCATGAAACTTTGTACAGACAGTCATGGTCACTAGAAGATGACCCCTGATTTGTGGTGGTTTTGAGTATCTTAACAACAACTGGATGGATTTCCATGGAATTTGCTACAGATTGTCAAGGTTCCTAGAGGATAAATTTGTAGCTGAGGTTTAGGAGCTATGCACTTCAGTTCCTTTGGGAGTCACTTCAACCTAGTGTATAGTAACCCGAAACACCTGTTCAGACAAGCAGAAATGTTGCATCTTCCCAGAAGCATAATCCCTGCTTTTATGGGGCCTCCACACTTTATCACTGCTTACTTTCTAAAGCCTTAATCCCACATGTTGCCTACGTTGCCCATGTTGCCAAAATTTAAGAGTCAATTCTAAAGTAGAAATGGAATCAAGTGAACTATGTGACACTAGTGTGTGACACTATAACCATTTTTTAATAAAAAACCCAATATCAGCCAATACTAGCCATCCAATATACTGGTCTAAATTGCCTAATGGAAAATGCTGAGTTCTTAATGGAGTCAGCTCGTCCCTGAAAGCAGGACAGCCACTGAGACAGCAGGACTTTCTGCCTCTGCCCTTTCATCCCTTCATCTTTCCCCTCTCTCTACAGGCTACACACGTGTCCTAGCGTCCTTAGTATTCTTGGCCAGTTTGTGGGTTGAGAGACAAATGGGCAGCTGATGGGTGCTGATGGGTGCAGTTTGGCCCACTGCAGCAGTAAACTAATGACCCTGTCACAGCTGCCCCTTTTACAGTTCCATCACACAACTTTCTGTTCAAACAATTAGAGTACCGGTGTTTCTGATACACTAACCACCATCAAAGAAGACACAGACCTCCTTCAGCAGTCCACAGCCAGCAGCTCAGTCGCATTTTTTTCTCATTCTGGGTTTTAGCTTTTACTGTGACCTCAGGCTCTGCAGATCAAATATGTTTTATGTAAGCTATATGCTAATCTGGAGATGTGGTGTAATGTAGATTATGATAAAGTCTTCTCTCTGATCTTAGTTAAGCAGAGTTTACATAGAAACCATTTATTAACAGTCTGTTGTTTTTGTACTGTGTACACATTGATGCCAGATACATACTCCATTTTGAGTTTGTGCATCACTAAATAAGTCTTCCTTGGTGTGTGGGTTGTGCTTAGTATAGCTGTGTAGATATGGTGGTCTGTTTTCCTTTTCCTACTCTCAGGCACCTGATTTAGTAGGGAGGTATTTGCCTAACAGACAGTTAGGCAAAGTTTCATCCCTCAGTGAGCTTACCAGCAAGTGGGTGGCAATGGACAGGGTACAAATCTCCCATCTTCCTTTATCATAACGTTTTCCTATCTACAATGCTTTATCACACTGTGATTGTCCATGTCATTCGTGATTTTACTATTTTGCACCTACTGTCACCTGTTGCATACTTGCCCATAGAGGATTCCCCAACAGAGAAGATCATAGTTTATAATGCAAATGTTGTATATAATGTTCTAGCTTGACCCCCTTCTCTTCTTTCTCTTTGTCTGCCTGTTTCTCTGCCTGCTAGTTGCATTCTCCGGTCTTGGCTTTACCTCCTTCTACCTGGCGGGGAAGCTGCAGTGCTTTACGGATCAAGGTCGAGGGCGTAGCTGGCGTCTCTGTGCCATGGTGCTGCCTCTCTACAGCGCTATGATGATTGCATTGTCCCGGACCTGCGACTACAAACACCACTGGCAAGGTCCACCAAACAGCTCAGACTCAGGACACATGACAAGGATTTTCAGCCTGAGAAATATTGCTGTGCAGAAGTCTGTTTCAATCACACCTGGCTCAAGGCACTTTTGTAATTATACAGACACAGATCATTTATATGGCAATCTCTGGGTGATGCTCATTTAAATCAGCTACTGCTGTAATCATATTTTTTAACTTAATCAGCATGGCTGACGAATCCAGGACGAGCTAAAAACATAAGAATTTATAGTAAATCAGGATTGGCAGTTTGCTCATTTGCCCAACAGACTGAAAATTGTGTCTTATAAGGCTGTTTTGCCTCTGATGGCAGTGAGGTAGCATTTCATTCGGCAGCCTGGGAAGAAAGCTATAACAAGCCTCAGTTATCTGTTATGAAAGAACTAGAGGGAGACTTGGAGTGACAGAGGGAAGGGAATGCATATGTGGGAGGGGTGTGGGAGAGAACGTGTGGTAATTTGATGACAGCTCTGTCATATGGTGTTAATTAGCTTTAGAGAGCCATATGCTCCTGGAGAGTAGGGCAGCTACAAAACAGACAGCTCTTTTAAAAACAAGAATTTATTTACATCACATTACAAAACATACAGTAGCTACAGGCAGCCGCTTTCCGAGTCCTCTTTCTTAGCTCTACACATACTTTTTCTCCTACCTCTCCCCAGCAGACTGTAAGTAAGCAGTAATGGTGGAGCCCATTAAACGTGAGGGGCCCCAATCTGCACTCACTGTAAACACAAGCTGGGAGCCCCTATTAGCCTGGCTGCTGAGCCATGCTTGATGGATACTAATATTCTCTTTGCACTTTGGAGGTGCACTCTGTCCTCAAGGGGGAGAGGCTAGGCATCCAATCACTGTCACCAAACCAATATATTGCATCAAGTCATTCAAACATTCAGAAACCAAGCTCATGTGTTGTATAGCTTCTGAATGGCAGAAATCAATGTTGTATTTAATTTCACCCAGTAGGGGAGAATAAAGGCAGTTTGGTGAGAAATGGAGAAATATAATTCTGATATTATGGAACCCTTTACTTCAGCTCCTTCAGCCACCAGCTGGCCATGTCATTTTTATCTATACCCAGCAATACAGGCTTAATATTCAACATGGCGGTGTGATATTATGATGTATTATGGCTTAAAGGGGGCTAGGTAGAATATGAAACTGTTCAGCATAAATGATAAAGTGAGTCCCGAGGCAAGTGAGCCCAGTACTCAGAACAGAACAGATTCATTGCTTTGCCATTCAGTTTACTTTCATCACCCTCCAAACTAGCCTGGCATGATGAATGCTCACTGGAACACTGTAGCACAACACAGTAGTGCCTAATTAAATGTGCTCATTCTAAGAGCAGGTGGTATTTTTCTTCCTCCACATTGGCTAAAATTAACCATAGATGCATACCTTAAATATATGTGTTTTTGTGACTTTGCAGATGCTTTTGTTGGAGGAGTGATCGGGTTGCTGTTTGCCTATATCTGCTATCGCCAGCACTACCCACCCTTTCTGCACATGGATTGCCACCTGCCTTATGCCAGTCTGGCTGCTGCCGCCCACAAGCCCTCGCTTCCCCAGGACGACCCGCAGCCCACTGACAATGCCACCACCCTTCCCCTGGAGGGCTTGACTGAAGGGCCAGTATGACTAGTGGCCACCACCGAGACTCCCCCTAACACCCTTACCAAGCCATTGAGCCCACGTCCCCATTCCCAGTGACTGACTGGCACTTGTATACATTCCAGTGGACAGTATTACACCTCACCCATCTCCATACTGTTACACCCTGTCTCGGTGAAACACACATTCTTTTGTGTTTATTTTTTTTTATATCTGGTTCTTGCTCAGCAGCCGTGAAAGTCTATATTTAGATGTGATGTATGAGAGGAACCTACGAATATGGGACATCACCGCTGAGAGGGAAGAGCGAAAAACATGTTAAAACACTGAGGAAACAAGTCTTACTAATGGCTGTGGAGGAAGATGAAAATATTGTGTATGTCTTTGCTGGAATCTTTAGCTTAATGAGAAATGTGGACAGCAGGTTGTTTTATGCTGTAGTATATTAAATGTTTGGCTGGGATAGCAAGTTGGGGAGACGCAGAGTAATCCCATTAAATGTCACAGCAATTAAATCATGAAATCAAATCACTTCAACTATTTGAATATCATATGTTATATTTCAACCTCAAAAACAAAGTCTGGAATTTGATAGCAACAAGTGGCAGAAAGCAGCGACATTCTGTGTGTTTCAGTCGTAGACTTTTAAATGCACTCTGCATTTCCAGAGGGCACCAATGTGTTGGTTTTAAACTGAAGGTCTTGGGGCCCTTCTCTAGATTCACACCTCCTCTGCTTTTAATACTTTTTGGTTGTCCGTAGCAACATAATAATACATATAGAAACAATACATTCTTTTGAGAAAAGCACTGGTCCATGTCAAGGACAATAGTCAATGTTCCCCAACCTTATTCTTGTACATTTACCCATTTTTTATTATTCCATTTCTCCCCATTCTCTTGGGCTTGTGCAATTTCCCAGTGCAATCCTGCACATCGCCCCTTTCTCGTTCCTCTTCCTCTGCTTGTCACCAATCAACTTTCACAAACCCTCCTGTTAACAAATGTTTCTGGAGGTTGCACGGGGACATGGACCCAAACTGTAGCTCAATTAGTGCAATCAATAACAGGCAGGTGGGAATGGCGTGGTGGAAGTGTGTCTGGACAGGCACAAACTCCAATTTGATCCTGCATTAATCCTCATTAAGGGAGGTCAGCCACTGCCGTGTATGAGCACATTAGGACTATATGATGTGCCCCACGGACTGCCCAAGCACTGCAAATGGCTTTCAGCCCACTGTAGCCCCACAAATAGACAATCTTGCATTCAGGAGATGACAGGCCTGAGCCCTGGCCAAATGATTCTGATGGATTATTCATCCATTAATGTTCCATTATTTATTAATATTCCCAGCCTTATTTTAGGGACAGCGTGTTGAAACAAAGAAGACACCAAAGATTTGTAGCCTTTTTCTGCTTGGCTTGTGTGCACCCTGCAGCAGAAATGACACATAGCCAGATTACCTGTTCCCCATCGTCAACAAAGCAATTTTTGCAAGTTTTGTTAGAAATGATTTATCCTTTTGTTGCCTTGGTTACTGTGTCTTTATTTTTTGCTATTGCTGTGACATTAATGGTGAGGTGCAATCTCATTTTACCACTAACTCAACCAAGCTACACAGAAAGGCAAAGGTTATAGCTGTACTTGCACTGAACAGTGAAGGGTGAAAAACAGGAGACAGCACATCAAAATAACATGATGTGAAATGAGCAGCAAGCCAAATGTATAAGGTTATTGTGTAATTTTATTATCCTATCAGTATGTCAGTCAAGCATATTTGTACATTTGTCTGTCTCCACTGTCAAGAGTCCACACGTGTTTTGTAAAAAGCAACAGTTGAAACAGCCACACCTTCAGCTGCTGTTGTTACACGGGGATGACAATTAAAGCTTCTCTCTGTTCAACTTTTGTTTAAACATCATTTACTCAAATCTGTCACAATTAAGTCTCTGTCACTAATGCAACCCATTGGCAGCTTCTTAAAATTGTGTGTGTGTGTGTGTGTGTGTGTGTGTGTGTGTGTGTGTGTGTGTGTGTGTGTGCGCGCATGCAAGTTTTGACAAGGCCTGTCCCACACTGATGCAATACAAAATGAAACTTTACAAAGAACTAACCATTTACCAGAGGGCAAAAGTTGCTTGACTCTGCACATCAGACTCTGTGACGGGACTTGACCAGACTCTGAGAGTTGACTGGAGAGAAACTTGTAACCTTCTCGCTGGTTGCTTTCAGCACAGTCCCGGAGAACAGTGACAGTGTGATTTGGACATCCTGAGGCAGAATTGGGGATATGATGATTGTGACCCAGATTCATTATGTTCTATAGACCTGCATTCGCCTGACTTGGCAGCCTGATGTTTGTACTTTGTCATTTAGTTTTCTCCTATTAGATGGTGCAGTGTATATTGGAAAAAAATGTTGATCAGAGATCATGTCTGTAAGAGTATTTTTGCTTAATCAACAACAGACTTAAGTTTCTCACTTTTCTTCAAATGATTCCATAACTTATGACTTTAATTTGGTGCTATAGATAGTTTTGTAGCAGTAGGTGTCACTTTTTTCAAACAGTGGATGTGTCATTTCTAAATGAAAGTTCAATAATTTTCTACAGAGAAAGAAAAACATTATATTACTTTTTTTTTTCAAATCAGATGCACAAGGGCAACCAGTGCTTGATTTTTTCTTTCTATCAATTCACCTTCCCAAGGACTGATGGGATAAAAGTATAGAAAAAATATTAAAGAATGATGAAATTATTATAAATTACAATGAATAGATGTCTGAAGAAAAAAAAAGAGTGTACGACTTAAGAGTCTTTGTTCATGGCATGCCAATTCCATTTGTGAAAGACTGTTTTCTATGAATAAGCATGTCTGGCCTTGAGAACTCTTTGAGCTGTGTTTTTGCTGTTTGTATAGTTTATGTACAATAAAGGACCGCAGCTGTGTGAAATCTGTCCATGATGAAAACAAAAGGAGCCTAATGTACCTTGTCAAAGCGGGATCGTTGGAGCCTATGTTTGTTTCTGAGATGGGAACTCCGATTCGCTTCACTCGGATTCAACACATCATTGGACACAAATCAAGGTCTGAAGATGTTTATAAAAAAAAATCCTCCCTGTAATCAGAACATTGATACTATTACATTATTCCTTGTTATATGCAAATGAACAATCTTACATTATGCAGCAGCAGACGTTTGAAAGAGCTGTATCCCAAGTTCAGTTAAATGAATTTATGCTTCAACGGACCTGCTGTCAGATTGCACCGTGCTACTGAGGCCGTTGAATGTGTGTGAATGTAACTCTGTTCTAAGTGTGTATTGTGCTTTTCTGCATCAGTTGTGTTACATTCTTGTGTAGGGAGTTTCCAATAAATGTGTGTATACTTAAGACTACCTGATGCTTTTCAGATCAGTAGGATTTAATCAGGATGCTGTCGAGGGGCAGCTCCTGTGGGCTGAGGACACTCTCTTTTCAAAGAAATGTGTTCTTGATAATATAACTAGTTGGCCAGGTAACTGTCATTTTGTGCTTTAGAAACTAACTTTTGAGAGTAGTGGGATTTTTTTGAGTCCTAAGGGGATGTAAGCAGGATCAAGAAATAATTCACATGATTAAGGAATGACAGTCTACATGTGGGTGTTCAGAAGTGATTTGTGATTTTATAATGTAATTCAAGACTGCTTTCAGTTCCATCAAGTCTGAGATTGTGATTTGATTTTAAATTTTCAGTTCACATTTTTTATGCCACTGAATTTTAACTAATAATGAATTGCTAGATCATACCAGTTACCATTGGCTACTAGTTGACACAAATATTACCATACTCCCATCACTTTAAAAACTGCAAATAATATACTTTGGAGAAAAGAAATACATAATTCAGTTATTTTGAAGGGCTGAAAATAAAATTTCTGAATGTATCCATGCAGGCTTTTAACCGTCGTGGCCTGTTACTCATGAAAATGATTCCTGCCGAATAACAAGACAAAGACACTACAGATCCACCTGCTTCAGCTGATAGCAAACTTGAGTGATGTGTGCTAACAACCAGTCCCATCAGACCCAGGAGTGATGCAGCAGCACCTTCTATAACAAGTGGAGAAAGTTGCCCTGCTGCTGTGCTAGCCTTGTACGACCTGAAAGACCAGTTGGTGAAATATTTATGAGCTGAGTGTATATGATCTCATTTTGACAGTTTTGAGAATTAAATGCAAATTTCAATTTGCTACATTTCCAAATAACTGTAAATAAGTCCCTCTCTTTTTCGCTCTGTTCCTCTCTTGCCCTCTCTCTCTCTCTCCCTCTCTCTCCTCCCCCCCCAACCGGTCAAGGCAGATGGCCGCCCACCCTGAGCCATGGTTCTGCTCGAGGTTTCTTCTTAAAAGGAAGTTTTTCCTTGCCTCTGTCGCCTAGTGCTTGCTCTTGGTGGGAATTGTTGGGCTTCTGTAAATAACATCACAGAGTATGGTTTTAGACCTGCTCTTTTATGAAAAGCACTGTGAGATAACTGTTGTTGTGATTTGGCGCTATATAAATAAAACTGAATTGAATTGAAGTCTTTCCACACCTGGAATGTAGTATCTCACAAAAGTGAGTACACCCCTCACATTTTTGTAAATATTTGATTACATCTTTTCATGTGACAACACTGAAGAAATGACACTTTGCTACAATGTAAAGTAGTGAGAGTACAGCTTGTATAACAGTGTAAATTTGCTGCCCCCTCAAAATAACACATCACACAGCCATTAATGTCCAAACCGCTGGTAACAAAAATGAGTACACCCCTAAGTGAAAATGTCCAAATTGGGCCCAAGTAGCCATTTTCCCTCCCCAGTATCATGTGACTCGTTAGTGTTACAAGGTCTCAGGTGTGAATGGGGAGCAGGTGTGTTAAATTTGGTGTTATCGCTCTCACACTCCCTCATATTGGTCACTGGTAGTTCAACATGGCACCTCATGTCAAAGAACTCTCTGGTGATCTGAAAAAAAGAATTGTTGCTCTACATAAAGATGGCCTAGGCTATAAGATGATTGCCAAGACCCTGAAACTGAACTGCAGCACTGTAGCCAAGACCATACAGCGGTTCAACAGGATAGGTTCCACTCAGAACAGGCCTCGCCACGGTCGACCAAAGAAGCTGAGTGCATGTGCTCAGCGTCATATCCAGAGGGTCTTTGGGAAATAGCCGTATGAGTGCTGCCAGCATTGCTACAGAGGTTGAAGGGGTGGGGGGTCAGCCTGTCAGTGCTCAGACCATACACTGCACACTGCATCAAATTGGTCTGCATGGCTGTGGTCACAGAAGGGCCCGTAAACAGTTTGCTGAAGACAAGCAGACTAAGGACATGGATTGCTGGAACCATGTCCTGTGGTCTGATGAGACCAAGATAAACTTATTTGGTTCAGATGGTGTCAAGCGTGTGTGGCGGCAACCAGGTGAGGAGTACAAAGACAAGTGTTTCTTGCCTACAGTCGAGCATGGTTGTGGGAATGTCATGGTCTGGGGCTGCATGAGTGCTGCTGGCACTGGGGAGCTAAAGTTCATTGAGGGAAACATGAATGCCAACAAGGCAAAAAGATGAGGGTAAAGGTGATGGACTGGCCAAGCATGTCTCCAGATCTAAACCCTATTGAGCATCTGTGGGGCATCCTCAACAACAAGCTGTACACTCACTACTTTACATTGTAGCAAAGTGACATTTCTTCAATGTTGTCACATGAAAAGATATAATCCAATATTTACAAAATGTGAGGGTATGTATTCACTTTTGTGAGATGCTGTATACTTTATTAGGAATTGACAGTGAATTGTTTAAATAGCATATTTCCTGAGAGTCTGTGCTCTTGCTATTCTAGATATTGTAGTTTCAAGGCACATTGAGCACTCACATCAGTAAAACACCCACATAGCAGCAATTACAGCCACAATTGCTCCTGAGCAACTCTCACATTGAAACCTTACAATGTTTGTGAGATTAGGTGTGCTATTCAGGTAAACTAAAACAAAACAGTTCTTGTTTAGCATAGCAAAGAGCTGCCAGTCAGTCACATTAAATTTGTTTGCAATGGCAATGGAAGAGATGGTTTCCTTTCACTGTGTGAATCATTATAGTGCTCAATGAAAGGAAAGTGTGTCATCCCTCAAAACATCCATATTGTTTTCTTGTCAAGGGCAGCTCCCCTCTTCTGGATGAGCAGTGCTATTATGGCAGTCAAATCAACCTGGATCTAATACATCAACAGTCAGCTGGCAACTAATATCACTTAACATTGCAATACCCTTCAAGACGCTGCACACAACACTCCATTACACTCAGTGTTTTCAAAGGGGTATTTTAAATAGAGATTTCATAAACCTGTGGTTAGATTCATTCACACTGTGAGGAAAGAGGGATAGTTAACATGGTAATTAGAATAAAAAAAATTGTAGATGCTTTCAAAATACTGAAAAGTGGCAGACAACAGACCAGTTTTCTCTACACTGACCTCATTTGAGAGAAACATTGCATGACACACTTCCTATATACATTTTTCAATAGGGTATGCAAGTAACACTAGATAAATTGTTGAGATAAATTATTCAATAAAACAAATTATGATTCAGTTAGTGTATGTCAGAATCTCATCAACACTGATAGTGACATTTATCAGATACTTGCTCTTCAAGCCTCCTCTCAATCCAAAAACTGAGCATGGTGTTAGTTCAGGCAGGCAACAAAGTCAAGCTCAGCTCACAATCCCAGCACATAAGCTGACAGCAGCCAATCTTTACTACTTCTCTCACTGCCTCGGTCTTTCCATGTATGCACATGGATGGGCAGGAAGGTGCTCTTCCTGCCTTATGGCTTTCCATGTAGGCACATGCACAACTGCAAAAACTCGGTAAACCAGAAACACAACTCAGATAGGGCAGGTGAAGTAAAAAGATCAATATTAGGCAGACATGGAAGTTAAGGCAAACGCATCCAGTTAGAGAGCAGGCAAAGGGGCTGGGAGCTCGTTCCACCACTGTGGTGTCTTGACAGACAAGAGTTGTGAGCTGCTGAGTAACTTTTGCTTGCTCTGAGTGATTTCAGTACCAGCCTGCCAGCAGAGGTAGCTGAGTGGAAAGCTCGAGCTGGGGCATAAGGTCTGACTAACACCTGGAGGTAGGAGGGGGCAGTTACATTGACAGCCTTGTAGGCCAGTACCATTGTCTTAAATCTGATGTGAGCTACTACAGGGAGCCAGTGGAGGTGGAGATTTATTTTCCCAAAGTCTTCTTCACTGTCTCTGTGTCTGTGAGTGTTTATTTCTGTAATAGCTGATCTATACTGACATCGTTTTTCTGAAAAAAGTTTTTGTTACAGCTAGACTGAGTTGACAAAATTGTGCTTGATAAAGTTTGTCACAACCAACCTCAGACTCGCTTGGAGCTAGGGGCTACAGGAGAGATACTTTTTTCCCCTCCAAAGTTCCCTACTGCAGCAAATGTTGCCTCTGTGAGGATTTGTTTCATTAAGGCATAAGCTTTAAATAATGAACACCTCTTTCTCTCCTACTCTTCTAATTTGGTAAAAGTTTTGGTGAAATGCACATTTCTGAGTAATGAATGGATCTAGATTCTGAAGCAAGTGGCAAATAAAGGAGTCCTCAGATTGGCTCATAATTAATGGATCAGCCGAGGACTGTGAGACTCGTGTGTCTCTTCTGTGGAGTTGTAACCGATATTGGATAAACTATAACTGTTGAGCTAACTGGGTCTCTGTAGAAATCAAAAGTCAAGTAAAGTTCACATAGAGTAAAGTTCACTTAGATTACTCGAGGTACATTAATGACTCTGAATTGTGTTTGTGTACGTGAATCTATGACTTCGTCGGAATTCATTACAGATCCTTCTCTGCAATAAAAAAATAGATCCAGATATTCTTCAAATATGCTGTAGATGTATAGAAGCATCTGATGTGGGTTAAAAAAGGTGAAAAAGCTCCTTTTTTATATTATCACTTTTATATCAGAATGGTATAGTGTATGCTATCAATAGCAATGAGTGGACAGCTGTGGATGTAACTTTCATGCTCTTGTAAATTCCTCAGGGTACTGTGCTATATCGCAAAACTCAGTGATTGTCATGTCTGCCTCATTAATACACAAACTACAGTTCTGTCAAAGTGCAACTTTCAGTATAAACCCCAGGGAACTGTTGGAAAAGTCTTTTATTTCCTAAATGCTAAGTGCTCATTGCACTCTACTTTGGCTCACTCAGAGGGAGAAATTGATCCAGATTGTTCATACACATGGCACAGTCAAAAGTTCTAAAAGGACAAACATGCTTGATTGGAAGAATGGAGGCTTTTTCACAAGGGAATCTTGTCAAATAATTATGAGA